CTAAAAACCGTAGTAAAACATAAATTATAATAAATGAAATAATTTGGACAGGTAGCGAGATAATATACTCGGTGGTCATGACAACAATAAAGGTACGTGCTCAACCTATCCGCTGTTGGTTGCCCTTTAACTCCATGGCTACTACTACACTATGAAGATATTTCCCCACTGTTCCCTCTTTTCAACGCTTAAATATCTCATGTTATGTTTTTTGCTTGATAATGACATCAAAGTGATGGGACAATATATGAAAATACCTAAACATACTTCACTGTTAACAAAAGTTAAAAAATATATATTTAATTCAAAATGCCTTAATTATTCTTTAGGATTGAAATAAATTTCACTGTCATTTTACATAGGCTTCGAAAGAAAAAAAAAATTGTTTAATAGAAAACTGAGAGTGGGACAATACGTAGTAATTACATTTTAGTAGCTTAAGTAATTATAAAATATCATTATTCTTTAATATTTTAATTAATATTTCATTATGAAGAAATTCTTCTTCGCCGTATAGCAGTGGGGAAAAAAATCAAGTTAGACTTAACTAATCACGTAAAAGTTGTAATGGACTAAAACATGCCCCTAAAATGAGAATCATCCATATATCTCAATAGTTATCAAAGCGCCATCAACAAAAATAAAAACAAAATAAGACAATTTATCCACTCACAACAAGAAACCGTCTTATTTTGTGAACAGCTGTGAAAAATTTACAAAAATAAATTTCTGTCTTATCTTGAAATTTCACGCATCATAATACACCTGTCTTTTAAGCAGACCCTACACGGTAATTCATGAATGAACGTCACAAGAAGTTCCAAGATTGCCCGCTATCGGTTTGATCATGAAGACTCTTACACGTTCAATCATTACTGATCATTACTTATCTTTGCTGATTTAGGTTAGATCGTTGCTGACCAATTTAGCGCAGTTGTAAAGAAAGAAACAGCATAGATATGCTTATTTGGACATTGTCATTTATAATATTGGGCATCAAGAGAAAAACGGAGTTATAATAATTACTTCCTAGTGCCTGAAAATCGTTTAGACCAAAGTTAGTCCAAAATATAAGTCAACTACATACAAAAATCTATGAAAAGTATTGCGAAAATAATCAATTTGTTAAGAAAAATGGAAAAATTAATGGCAAATAAACACAACAGTTAAAGATTTTTTTTTCCTAAAGTAAATTGTGAAGTTTCCTCATTTTTTTTTTAATTTGTTGTCCACTTGACTATTTAAAAGAAATAGTTGAAGATGGTTTAAAATTATAAAGAAGGGATATGAAAAAAATATTTAACTATTTACATATAATGAAAATCAGAAATTTATAATGGTTGTGAGGCCTAGGTCACCTAACCTATCCAGCAGTATGGTTAGTCCCCCCACTACTTTTACCTCAGTCCCCCCTCCACTTCTCGTGAATGAATCTTTGATTTTCTGATGTTCGGAAATCCGCAGCGCACCACCATCAGTACTTCATTCACTACCTTACAGTACAATTCGGAACGTCATTAGTGCAATTCCGATTGACCGTGTAGGGCCCCCTTTAGACCACACGATAAAAGTGAAAACATCAAGGCGGGGTTAGTAACATAAAATAAAATTATAAATAATAGCTCAATTTAAAAAGGGTGAAATGCTGAAAATTTCCTTCGCGATTTTTAGTTTCTGAGATATTTTAATCTATATCCACCATAAAACTCATTACCATTTGGTTTCCGGCACTATTTTTTCGTTTTCTCCTCTCTAAAACGGCATCGCGTTAAGATACTATTTTGAATAATAGCTCAATACAGAGGATAAAATAATGAACATTTCCCTTGCTGACAAAATGCAGGTCAGATTTTTAGTTTTTGAGATATTTTAATCCATATGCAAAAACACTTCAATTAGTCGTCTCCAGCCGACTTTACCCGAGCGTTACACGTCGGAGATCTGACGGCTCAATCTAATTCACTCTCAACAAAAAGAGTGCAAAACGCGCGTAAAGAAGTTTTCACTTCATAAAATAAAACTGAAGCCTGATAAAACAGAATTATATATTCTAATCTTTTGTGGCAATGTTAGCGATAAACTTCATAGGTATATTCCAACCAAAAAAAAAAATCGATCCTTCGGCTGTCAATCAAAAACCCACGGGACAAACTATGGAATTTTTCCAGTTGTACGGGGAAGAGTAATAAAAGTCTTAAACTCAGCGCTGATTTCAGTGATAGCCATTGGAAATCCATCAGACAGTTCCTAAACTCATCGATGGATCCGTAAATGGAATGCAACGAGTCGATTGAATCAGCGATGGCTTAGGGTTTTCATCGGCATTTAAAGTGGATGAATTCACTGAATGTAACCCTTTTGTTTTTAACTCTTAATTAATTTTACCATATTTATGTTCAGTTTACTTTCTATTTATATGTATATATATATATATATATATATATATATATATATATATATTTTTTTTTTTTTTTTTTTTTTTTTAATTCAACGATTTAGTAAGTATATATATATATATATATATATATATATATATATATATATATATATATTTTGTTTATATATTTATCTCTTTTCAGGAAAGATCCCCGTACAAATAGAGTCTAGAGTATTATAAACATTATTAACCTTATTGTATTAAATTATTTTTTTTTCCTTTCTATGCTACATTATTAATATTACAATAATATAAAGGATAACTTAAAAATCACATTTATTAAAAAGTCAGATAGTTAAAACAATGCCAAATATCAAGATCAATACAAAATATAAAATTATTAATAAAACAAATAACAACAAAAATAAATAAATTTGTGAGAATCCTCACTCGGGATAGAGGCGAGTGGCGAAGTATCGATCATAAGAGAGGCCCAGGTTCTTACAGGACCGTAGCACCAAGATTAATTAAATTTAAAAAATATTTGGTACCATTATAATGACATGAAACGAAAATGTATTTTATTATTCTGGGACTGTTGTCCCTTTAGAACAAATTATAAGTAGTGTTAGATTCATGTGTAAGTGGTCAAATAGAGTAGATGTTTACAATATGGTTATTTAAAAGCAAAAATACAGATGGAATGAGAGAAAAGATATAAAAAGCGTAAATATACATGCATAATAATCATACCTAAAGCGTACATAATGCAAATGGAGAAAACTAAAGTAACAGAAATATTTTCTGGGGGTGCTTAGATACCTCTTTTAGATGTATGTCGTGATCAGTCGGATTACGAAAGGAGTAAAGGTTTGAAAGAGGAAACCGATTGCGTGTGACGAATATCAGCAGGGATGGAATTCCAGAGTGAGGCGGCTTGAATTGCAAATGATTTGTCACACGTAGAAGTTCGGTGAGGAAGTGGATAGAGGTCGGAAGTGCGAGATCTAGTAGGACGGGATTGGATTGAGTATTTAAATTTTAAGCTATGGAAAATACAGGAGGGTCTAGGGGATGAGTTGTAATGATCTGGTGCAGAAAGGTAGCTAGGAAGTACTGACGGCGATAGAATGGGTAGAGCCACTTCAACTCGGCGTAATACTGGACAATATGCGTATCTCTTGAGATTCCGAAAACAAAACGTAATGCGCAGTTCATTAGGCGTTTAAGTTTGGCTTCGAGATCTCCCGAGAGTCCACCGTACACCATACAGCCATAGTCGAAGTGGGCGAAAACAAGGGAGGAAACTAGGAGTTGACGGGACTTATATGCAAGTTGATAACGTAGACGATTTAACTGTTTTAGGGTGGAGATAGTGCGACGGGAGATTTGGGAGATGTGCGGTTTCCAGGAGAGGGTTTATCAAAAGTGAAACCTAAGTTTTTAACGGAAGTATGGAATAAGATAGGTGAGTTGTTCAGGAGAAGATTGAGGGATGACGGGAAGGATTTGAGGAGTGTGAAGGATCCAATCAAGATGGCTTTGTGTGTGTATATATTGATATAATGTGAGATACTGAGGCCCAAAGCTATTACAATATTAGATAATATGTAAATAAATTTGATTTACACATTATAATTATTGAAGTCGAGGTAAATTAGGTAATTAGGTAATTAATAATTACTGCTAGGTACTTGCTTCTTTTCTCAATTCCAAGTTTCCTCTCCTCTTCACTCTTCCAAAGCTTCAGGTCCCCTCACTAGGCCGCTGGAATGTCTACTCAATTTTTCTTCATTGTCTTTTCATTTAACATTTCTCTAATACAGTTGCTTTGTTGGTAGGCTAAAATTAATTATTTTAATACGTTTTGTAACTTTTTTTATTTTTTACAAGTGGAGTATCAGAGATACTCTGAAGATCGGCCAATGATCCGGATCGTTTCCTCCACCCTAAGGCCGGAACTTTGTTGTTTATGATAACAGCAATGTACTAATCCAGTATTCTTTATTAATGAACTAGAAAAGAACTAGATTCGCGAAAAAGTGCTTTTATTACTTGGGGTTTTAGCGATAAACCTCATAGTTCAAGGTATTCCCAAAGAAAAAAAAAATTTTTTTTCGGTCCTTCAAAACTCTGGAATTTTCCAGCTGTTACAGGAAGAAAGGATAATACAAGTATTTAAACTCAGCGCTGAGCTCATTAATGGGTTTAGGCAATTTAATAGGCCATTCCTAAACTTCAGCGCGTTTCTTTATTCACTGATTAGATAACGGTTCCTTCAGCTTTTGGGGTCGATAGATCCGCTGGTTGTATACCCAGCTTAGAGTACCAGTGACGCGGTTGAGAGAGTAGCGCAGGGATCTCCTGGCGTACTCTTGGCATTCCCTCGCCTGATAGTAAATAATGTTATTTTACTTTACTTATCTTAATGTTATTTTATTAGTATTTACTGTATATACTACTAATAGTTGAAAAAATAAAATAGATCAGCGCTGAGTTTAGGAACTTAGCTCACATATAATGGAATAACTTTTATGTATTTACAACGCATATATAAATAAAGAAAAGCAACATATTTTTTTTTTTAATGACGAATAAATTTATTTATTTAGAGCATTCGGTTTCAGGGAGCGCTGTCGACGATGGAGGCACCCGGGTCCGTATGGTCATCCCAAGGATCACGAACTACTTTTCTTCTGCCGGCGTCTGAGGATCCTTCAGCTCCAGAAGATTTTTCTTTGCCCGTGTCTGAAGATCCTCCAGCTCCAGAAGATTTTCCTTTATCTCTGTCCGAAGATCCTTCAGCTCCAGAAGATTTTCCTTTATCTGTGTCCGAAGATCCTCCAGCTCCAGATTTTTCTTTGCCGGTGTCCGAAGATCCTCCAGCTCCAGATTTTTCTTTGCCGGTGTCCGAAGATCCTCCAGCTCCAGATTTTTCTTTGCCGGTGTCCGAAGATCCTCCAGCTCCAGATGTTCCACCGCCAGTATTTGAAGATCCTTCAGCTCCAGATGTTCCTCTACCGGTCTCAGAAGATCCTTCATTTCTTCGTCCAGAATGTGGGGTCTCTTCTCCAGACCGTTCTGGTTCTGATTCATCCCCTCCCCTATCCTCATTTGGCCCGTCCCTATCCTGGTTTTCCCCAGCGTCACCACCTTCATCGTTTCTATCATCAAAACCGCATTCAAGCTAGTTATTAGAGAAATTAAACCAACTTAACCATCTCATAGCTCCCTTACAGTCTGCCATATTTTTCCTGGATGTATACTACAGTCATTCCATATCTGAACAATTTATAATCAAGAATGTTTTTAAATCAACACTTGTTTTATTCAGCTTGCCGACGTTTCGACCAAAGCATCATCAGAGCAATGGTTTCTGTCAAGGCTATCATCAAGAATCACTGAGAAGCGTCGAAAAGCTGAATAAAACAAGCCTCGATTGAACATAATCTGATAATTTATAAAAAGGAATCAGTCGACATAAATATCCATTATTGAAGTAGAAGAGACTATTAAATGGAGGTTATGTCAGTTTGTAAGAAATATTCGATGCGACAAGTGTTGTTCTCTATGGTTTCTAGTGTTGCCCAAATGCGAGTCTTGGTCTTGCATCAGTCTTGAAGTCACCTATTAGCTTATTACTACAGAGATATTTCTGTAATATTTTAGATAAGAGAAACCTAACTAAGCCCGAATGAAAAATTAGAAGAGTTAAATTCAAAAGGGTATTGGTTATTTCAATTCTAAAATTGTCAAGTATTAGTAACTATTTTGCCTTACTTTTTATTTAAAAACTCAATTTTTTATCGACCAGTCTTGGTCTTGGTCTAGCAACTGTTGGGCGGTCTTGACCGATTTTGGGCAACACTAATATGGTTCCGTCACAGGACATAGAGTCAGCTCTTCCCTAATCGTATCTCCAAATACATTCCCCGATTTCTCCACAAACTCTCTTAGAAAACTTCATTTAAGCTGCATTGGCAGTGGTTAACATGCTCACATATGTCCGCTACATGGATATGACAAGAAGCCAAGACCGTGTTGGCCAAATATTCTAAGTTTTGTAACCTCGGCAACTTTAAGTAAGTTGCGGCGCGCAGATTCGATTCCGGTCTTGGCGGGTTGATATTTATTTGAAGCTAAGGATAAAAGATCTAAATATATAGTGATATGGTAAACGTATAAATGGGTAATGAATACATGTAAGCTATTAAAACAGTTGCAACATGGGCGAGACTGAAAAGGAGCTGGATGATGGATTTATTTGAAAGAATTTGATTGGATGTCGCTATTTGAAAGAATTAAATGAGGCATGGAATTTAATATATATTTTTTTTAATGTTTAAGTTCAAATATTGAAGGAGCAATAATTTCTGTGGCATCTGTACATAGTGTATTAAGTGAAAAAAAAAATCATATTTTCGGAAAAAAAAAAACAGGCAATTAAAAGTTTGGAATTATTAAAGTACAAATTTAATTTACAAGTTCCAACCCGTGATTCATCTTCTTAATTGCCGCATAACTTAACCCATTAGCTACAAAGAAAGAGAAACAAATTACCTTTCTAGTGATACCGAAAAGAAATTTACAAAATGGCAATTAACACACTATTCACAGATATGGATAAGGTGAATTAGTTGCTATAATAACTAGCTCAAGAGCGGTGACGCCAGAAGTGGAACAACTCCGAATAGGTACGAGGCAACATCTAGATATTACTTTAATAAAAGTAACTGTTAATTTTAACTTCTGTTTGTAACTGCTAAATATAGCAGTTATTAATAGTCGTAGCTCTGACATTAAGATATATATGTCAAGTCAATCCTTGATTAAATCTCATGTTTTTGAAATGTTATTATTGTTATAGAATCTGATTATTATAATAATTATTTATTTATGTTATTTTATAATTAGATAATTATTATTAATATTATAGTCCGTGGTACAGACCCGTTTTTTATAGAATTATTAACATCCGCCTGAAACTTCCTAAATAGTTTCATCTCATCGAAACCTACAACTATTTTATTTATGAAAACTCTTGGAATTGGAGAGTGTAAAACTTTGTCTATTTAATTAGATACTAAAAAGTCGTAAATATCCATTTGCTTTCTTCTTGGATAGCTAGATAAATTGATCACAAAATCGATAAAATATTAGGCCATTTGTCCAATATAACCTCGTTATTTTGAACATTTGGGGGTGTAGGTCACGCCAAACGGCTCAATATTTTTGAAGTCCACCTTTTATCTCGAGTTATCAAATTATCTAAGAACCCAAGTAGAAAGAAAATGTGTATTTACGAGTTTTTAGTACCTAATTAAATAGACTATGTTTGCCGATCTCCAGATTGAAAACGCCCCAATTCCAGGAGTTTTCGTAAATAAAATAATTGTAGGTTACGAGGAGACGAAATTATCAACGAAGTTTCAGGCGTATGTTAATAATTCGATAAAAAGGAGTCTGTGTATAATTAATGATACTTTATTATGATAATATTGTAAAGAAATGTTTATTGAGACAGGTGTCAAGTTGTATATAAACAAAATTATGTGAAAATTTAAGAAGGAAATAAATTATTTATATAATATAAAGTATATTATTTATAATGATGTAGAGGTGGTTGACCGTTGATATAATATGAGAAGGAGTTAATCGGGGATGCGGTCAGATAAATACTAAATTAAAATATAGTAATTATTTTATTTTAATTTTGCCGACGTTTCGACCCAATCTGTTTACTTTTAACTTTCGACCCACTTTGCAGGCACCCAATCTGCTTACTTTTAACTTACATGCTATATTCTCCTTTATTTTTATTTTTATTAATTTTTTATTCATACTTATTTTCCATTTATTAGTATCTTCTACATATATAATACTTAATAATTTACTACATTGTCACCCACTATATCTCTGATATCATCTTTTATTTCTGTATCTGACAACTTCTTCTTATTTTATATCTACTTGTATTTAATTTTTATTCTCAACATGTTTTGTATCTTTTGTAGCCCTGAAGACGACCTGCAAAATGGGTCGAAACGTCGGCAAAATCGAAATAAAATAATTACCATATTTTAATTGAATATTTATCTGACCGCACCCCCGACTAACCCCTTCTCATATATTATTTAATGAAATACCAATAGTAAGATTATACTCTGAGTTTTCCCAGTCCTTACGACTTTTTCGTTAACTTTGTATGGCCCCAATTGCGTATGCCCCAACACCGGTTTTAAATACAACATTTAAATAGGAAAAAGGAGAAAAAATGGAAAAAAAAATTTAGGTGAAAAACATGTTGGCGAATATAAACATATATATATATATATATATATATATATATATATATATATATATATATATATATATATATATATATATATATATATATATATATATGACGAAGGCGTGTACAGATGATCCTAAATGCAGAGCACTAATACAAGGAGAAGTATATAAAGCAAGATGGAGGGATGCATGTCAGAATTAAACATAAAATCCTGGCATATGTGGATAAATCCTCGGCAGTAATCAAGAGGATATTGAGAGACTCGCTCGGACTTCTGTTAAGAGAAACAGAGCAAATCGGACTACAAGTCCATATAGATAAAACAAAATATATGATAGTTAGCCGAAAAATCCGCCCTAATAACATAATCTGCGTAGACTTTAAGTCATTGCAGAAAGTAGATGGAGGTAGTAGAATACCTCGATTCCACAACATCCTCAATAAATGATCAATTAACGGAGATAGACCAGCGAATAACAGAGCTTTCTTCTCTCTTTCGAAGGGTACTAAAATCCAGAAATTTCAAACTAAGGGTGTACACCGCCGCGATATAGCCAGTTCTGCTGTACGGCTGTGAAACCTGGGCTCTAACGGGCATCTCAGAAAGCAGAATTGAGATATTCGAAAGAAAAACAGGACCTGTCTGGGATCAGAACCTTAAGACGTGGAGAAGAAAGACCAATAAAGAACTGCTTACAGAAACTGGTCAATCAATGATGATATGAAAGCACAGAGGTTAAGATGGGCGGGGAATGTAGCTAGTAGCAATCCATCTGGAAGCCTCTAACTAACAACGAACGAGGAGACTAGATGATGAGTATTCAATGGTATAAACCAATAGTGGCCATCGTTATCAATCTTGTCAGACTAAAAATATTTTGTGGAGCTTAATTATTTGTTGTAATCAAATAAATAATTAAAATATACAGTCATAAATAGAAATGAGAAAAATCCTCCATAGGATAACCAGAGCGATCCGGGATCAGAGTATAAACACGTGGAGAAGACGGACCAACAAAGAACTGCTTACAGAAACTGGTCAATCAATAACCCATGATATGAAGGCACGGAGGTTAAGATAGGCGGTGCATGTAGCTCAGAGAATTACATTAGGAAACTTCTATACAACAATAAATGCTTCAATAGTATGCAAGAGACCATTTGAAAGACCAAAAACCAGATGAATAGTTCGAATTAACTAAAGCCAGTTCTGCTGTGCGGCTGTGAAACCTGGGCTCTAAAAAGCACCCTAGAAAGCAGAATTGAGAGATTCGAATAAAAAGTCTTTCGTACGATAACAGGACTTGTCTGGAATCAGAACCTTAACACATTGAGAAGATAGACCAATAAAGAACTGCTTACAAAAAATAGTCAATCAATATCCCATGATATAAAGGCACCGAGGTTAAGATGGGCGGGGCATGTAGCTCGTAGCAATCCATCTGGTGTGACAATGAATACCTCAATTCTGCAAAAGACCACTTGGAAGGCCAAAATGCAAGTGGATAGATAGAATCAACAAAGAGGCAATAGAGCTGCGTGCAGATAACTGGAAAGAAATGGCCTAAGACAGGCAGAGATGGAGTAGCTTTGTTAAGGCGGCAAAAGATCCACATGATCTTTAATGCCAACAGAAAAATAAAAGTTATATACTAAATCTTATCATATTAAATAATACTGAAATAATAATAATAATAAAGAAAGGAAATATTAAAACTAAATTGAGCAACGACACTTGAATTTTCCTTTATTTGAACGCCATCAGCGAACGAGAACTATTTCCCCTCCGGAGGCGGTGGCGGCGGCGACTATTCGACGGGCGGCGTGTCGTCTGGCGCCGAGGCCGGGGGGTCTTCCTCAGCAGGTGGGGGCGGCGCGGCTTCTTCTGCTGGGGGAGCGCCCCCCTCAGGTGGGGGGGCTCCCCCCTCTGGTTGGGGGGCTCCCCCCTCAGGTGGGGGGGCTCCCCCCTCAGGTGGGGGAGCTCCCCCCGCTGGAGGCGGTGCGGTGTCTTCGCCCCCCTGGCCTCCTCCTCCCCCATCCCCTTCCTCGCCTCCTCCTCCTTCGCCGTCTTCCTTGCTGTCGGCACCCAACTTGGGCTAGTTATCATAGCAACGTGCTCAACTTATTTCTAATTGTTTTTCAAGCTAATGGAGATATTTTCTGTTAAATTTACATGGTTATAAATTAGTATATATGTTATATTATATATATTTTGGGCGATTCTCCCAAAAACATTCAATCATTCCTAATGGTGCTTACATAACATATTTACTTCCATATCCCACATATGAAAATATTGAGATCGTGATAAATTTCGAGTCCGATGTATCGGTCCATTTAGAAAACTAAACTTGGAGCGGGGTGGTCGAGCGTGTTAAGCATGTGCATTGCGCCGCGCGTTACCCAGAAACCTGATAACCGATTTTAAGAGGAAAAAATAATTACGCGTCGAGATCTCATCCACTGGTCCGAGATAATAAAAAAACTCGTATAACCTAACATATACAAACCTAGGGACAGTTGTTGGTAAGCAGATGTGTAAATCTGCACATATTTAAGGCATATAGTTGCCTATACTCCTGTATGGTGCTGACTGACAAACTTGAGAGAAAAATCACTGCTGCAGAAATGAGGTTTCTCCGAAGGATCGCAGGGAAACCAAGACGGGACTGCATTCGCAACGAGAGAATCAGGGAGGAATTGGGGGTTCCCCCGATGAAGGATGTCCTAAAGACTCGGCAGCTTAAGTGGTTCGGGCATGTCATCAGGATGGAAGAACACAGAGATCCATTAAAGTCTATGGACTACGTCCCCAATGGCAGAAGACCCCGCGGCAGACCGAGAATGTCGTACCTCGAATACGTAGACCGCCTGTGAAAAAACAGAAATAAGAATATACACCAAGTCAGAAATCTTGCAAGAATCAGGGAAAATTGGCAATCATGGTTAAACGTTCCCCTACGCTGAAAGGCACTACAGGGTTATACAAAAGAAGAAGAAGAAGGGACAGTTGTTGGTAGAAATGGAAAAATAGACAGATATCAAACAGGATCAAAAAAGCAAACGGCATCTATTACCAGATCTGCAACACGGTTTTAGGAAAACAAGAGGTGGAAAATATAACTAAGATCCATATATACAACACACTCTATCTTCCAAACCTACTGTACGGTAGAGAGAGCTGGGTCCTTCTAGATAGGCACAAAAGTAGACTTACCGCTGCCGAAATGAAATATCTGAGAAGAGTAGCTGGTCGAACTAGAAGGGATTGCATCCGAAAATGTTAAGGCGCCACCAATGCTGGAAAAGGACGAAGAAAGGGAACCCAGAAAATCTTTTGATGCAAGACACGCAGAAAAGAGATCAAGAGGACGTCCACGGAAAACTTGGATTGACGAAGTGACCAAGCTCGGACAGAAAAGAGGGGAATAGTTGGGTCGTATGAGAGACCTGGCGAAGGACCATGATGACTGGCGTAAATGGATGGAGTCCCCTACACGCTGAAAGGCACTAAGGAGGAAGACAAAAGAAGTGAAGAAATTTGAAGTGGCTATTGAATTGGCATCAGTATTACGTTCCCCGTCCGAATTGGATGAAATTGGTAGATTTGTATTAAAAGGAACGAAGAAGATGTGAAAAATATCAGTATCTAAACTGGTGATCAACAAGAGTTTAAACAAGCAAGTTCATTAACCCATTTTGAACTTTTCCATTGAAAATGCACGTATAATTTTATTGCGTTTGCACATTTGACTTCATGACTTTTTCTAAGTAATTAATGTACAGTTATAAAAATATTTTTGTTTTGTTTTGTTTGTTTATTCTGAGTAATCCTTGTTGTATACCGATATCTACCACAACAGGTCATTTGACCCGGAGAGAATTTTTTTGTTTTATGAGATTATCTAGTCATATTTGTAGTCAGTAAGTTGCACATTCTTCCAAAGACTGTTGCGTATAGTAGTTCAACGAAAATAGCTCAGAATAATTTCAAGAAAATATCAAATTTTAGATTGAAAATAGCTTTTTAGTGTAAGAAAAAGTGGCAAAAATTGAAAGTCTTGGTAAGTACCTAGCTTATATTTTATTTTGATAGCTATAGTAATAAAGATCATTTTTTACCCAGAAAAATGTCGAAGCAAACAAGACAGTACAAGTTCTTAGAAGATATAAATAATATTGGCGAAGAGTTTTCAGAAATTAGTGAAGATGAATTTTCTGAAAATGAAGATATATCGGTTGCAAATAAAAATGAGTTTGATTCTACAGATACTGACGATGAAGAGGAAAATATTGTGAATGTATGTAGTGGCCGAAAAAGAATAAGATTACTCACAAGTTCGGAAGAAAGTGAAGTAGAAATAAATGAAGAAAATGTTGCGAATGATGGATCTGTTTGGCAACAAATGCAATACTATGAATTAAAAGTTTTTATTTTTTGCTTTTGTAATAGAAATGCTCAACATACTATTTTGTTTAATCATAATAAATTTAATTTATATTTTTATTTCCTTCCTAACATCCATATTTCATACATTCAAGCATGAAACATAAAGTCGGGTCATTTGACCCGCTATAAATAAAAAATAGGTAGAAATAGGTATATATTAAGTCTTGGTATGATTAGTGTTAAATTAATTTTATATTACGTATATACTCCACTAAACCTTTCTCCCCTCCCACCACTCCTACAAAAATTTTAATTGAATAATTCTTTATTTCACTGATTCGTATCAGACAGGTTATTGAAGAATAAAAGATAATTGTGAAAGAAAATGATGAAATAAGGAAATTTATTAATTGTGTTGACTGTCGTGAATAATGTAGAGAAGAATGGTTGGGGTGATCAGTCAGTAATAAAAAGACAAAAATAAATTATAATATTTATTTTAACATTTGCCGACGTTTCGACCTGAAGTTCAGGCCTTCATCATGGCTGTTCCAAGAGATTGCTGGAATAGAGTCACCAACCATCCTTCTCTTCATCAAATTTATTATGCCTTAAAATTTTTAAGTTTAGAAAACTTACCAAATTTCGAAAATCTATAACCCGGACTCTATAAGGTTAACCGAGCCTATTCTGGTCTCAAATTGTAATAAATTTAATCTAAATAAAGAATATATAGAATGGTTTTGTCCTGAACCTAATGTTCAAAATTGGAAGGAAAAAGTGTGAAAATACGTCAGTTTTTACTTTGCTACCTATACCAGGTAAGTAAAGTATTGCGATCGGGTTAAATTTCCGATATGCGGTTTTCGACGGATCTATACGTTTCAGAGCTCCCTGAGTCTGAATTTAACATTACGGGGCCATATCTTCGAGTCAGAAAGGGATAAATGAAAGAAAAAAGATATTTAAGTGAAAATAAGAAAATCTGTTGTCCGCAACACACAATCTTCAATATTTCCTCTACTTCAACAGAAATTATTGTATGGCAAAATTAGGCTATTGAAAAAAGTTCCTTCTACCATACCACCATTACCTATATATGTAAGGTTTACCTTTAACCTAGTTTACCAAAACTTAGTTTTATCACTTATGCCGTTTGATTCTAGAGGCATAATTTAATATATAAGTTAACTTTAAATAATATAATGTTAGATCGTTTCGTTTAGAGAATGTCGAGGAGATGGTCGCGTCCAATCGACATGTGTCGACCTAGACCATGACTAATCTTGTGAATAGGCCGGACATACCAGACCGTCCTCCGCGCGCCCCCTTTGTCTAGCAACACATTCCTCCTGTAGGGGGGGGGGGCTCTTCGTTCGGGTCTATCATATCGTCACTGAAAGGTGATCTATATAATAATAATAATCCTTTATTTATTCTGGGACGAATCCCTTTAGAATAATACAGAAAGAAATCAATATGGGCTAAGGAGCCTCAGAGATGCATAAATAAAATTACAGAGTAATTAAACAGTCATAGTAAAAAAATGAAAAATTATAAGTTAATTTCTAATTTTAATCAGTTAATAATAAAAAATTGAGAAAAAAAAGGATGAAGTAAAAATAATGAAGAACGAACTAATAATTTATATACATATTTACATTAGTATCTATTTACAATTTCATGGGGACTGGATGGATAAGAAATGATTGAATAGGCGGGATTCAAAGGTAGGAAGGGTATTGTATTGATCGGATAATGAAAGATCTGTCGAAATTAGCGGTTCGGTGGGCCCTTATATATAAATCAGAAGACCGGGGACGAGTATTGCGGGAACGAACAGAGGATTTGAATTGAAGGAGCTTGGAGATGTATGAAGGGCGGTGGGATTGGATGACTTGAAAGAGGAAGGATGCCACGAAATACTTACGACGGTAGGAAGGATAAAGCCACTTCAACTCATAAAAATGAGAAACAGAGGCGTCCCTTGGAATCCCGATGGTGAATCGTGCAAAGTAATTTATCAAACGTTTTAGTTTCGCCTCGAGATCCCCAGAGACGCCGCCATATATCGAACAGCAATAGACAAAGTGGGGGAAAATTAAGAAAGTGACTAGGAGCCAACGAGTTTCAAATGGAAATAAATGACGGGAGTAAGTTAGATATAGGGTCTAGGCCTTCTAATAGCGGGTCCCTTAAGAACAACAATTATGAAAAAAATAAAATAAAAACCACATCTGGCCAAAAATTACATTAATCAAAATAAAAAAATATATACAATATCTTCAGTGAAAGTATATTAAAACAAATAAAAAAAGCAAAACCACTTTGAAAAAAAAACATTTTTAAATTAAATCATAAACAGAAATCGGGTAAAATAAAAAACAATTTCAAATTTGGATATAAAGTCAGAGATCATCCGAGGATCCTCCTTCATCGAAATTACCATTCGCCTTTTACTTTCAAAATGGCGACCAAAAAATCTGCGTTGCTATAGACTGTAGCTCCTAAACAAATGTACCGATTTCAATGAAACTTGGCTAAAGTCTTCTTCTCGATGCCCTTTAAACTTACCTATATAACATACTACAACGAAAAGATGCTGGAAAAAAAGTAACGAGGCGTGGTTAAATTAGATTCTGAATAAATCAAAAATTGTACATTCTTTTGTGGATATTGTGCTTAGATGTTTCAAAGGTATTTAAATTTCTTAATAAAAAAAAATATATATTTGAAATCGGGCAATTTCGAGCAAAGATGTTCTCTAGATATTTTTACCTTTATTTTATTTTTTGATTTTTGAAAATTTTACTGAAGTAATGCTATATTTTTTTTTGCAGATTACTAATTATGAAAAAAGAAGTTGTTTACGCCAATAATAGGAATCA